GATGTCTGTTGTGTGGTTGGATGTAGGAATAGGAAGCTTGTCAGTAAGGACAGGCCCAGAGAAGGGGACTAGATCCAGGTGGAGTGGCACATGCCTATAATCCCAGTGGCTTGGGAGGCTGAGGCAAGAGGATTGAGAGTTCAAAGCCAGCCTCAGCAACTTATCGAGGCCCTAAGTAACTTAGCAAGACCCTGCCTCAAAATAAAAACTAAAAGGAAGGGCTGGGTTATTGCTCAGTGGTTAGACACCCCTGCATTCAATCCCTGGTACAAAAAAAATGGGGTCTGGAGAGCTGAGGTCCTGTGTGCCTGGTGATGTGCACTATGGGGTGTGGTCCATGGCAGAGAATGGAGAACTACTGAGGGGAGGGAGCGTGGCCAGTGGCTAACTCCTGATAGCATGAAGTCAGATTACAAGAAGAAATGGCATTGTGCTGAGCCCTAAAGGATCAGGAGGCTCCCAGGTAGGGAAAAAAGCAAGAAGAGAGACATGGACATCTCAGGAGGAGATCAAGGCATCTTTTAGTCAGGGCAAGTCTTCTCTCGGCCCTCTGTCGACCCTGGGGTTCTGCTTGCCTCAGCCACTCCTTGTATAGAAAAACTGCTCTGGGTTGGGCTTCTTTCTGTCTGAGTGCCCACTGGCCCTGGGTTCTGACCCGGTGCTCTGTGCTCTTGCTTAAATTCAGCTGATGGCTTGTGTGCCCATGTTGCAGGTCACCACCTTCTCCAGACTGCTGACGAGCCATGACTGCGAGGTCCTAGCGGCGGAGGTGAAGGGCTTGGCCCCGAAGCCTGTGATCCTGTCACTGCAGCAGTTTGACACTGAGTACTCATTCCTCAAGGAAGTCCGGTGAGGCGCCCTGCCTGCCCATCACCCTTGGCCCCTGCCCTGGGAACGTGGTATCGCATGCCAGGGTGTGGTGACCACTTGTAAGGAACTCTGAGTACTATGGAGGCTCATTGCTCAGCCTCCTCGAATGCCCCTCTGGCCCCAGTTGTAAGACAGCTGTGTCCGTCTGTCTCCTGAGCACTGTGTGGCCCTTTCCTTCTCCAGTGGATTGCATCCTCACCTTGTGGAGGGAGACCCCACCTGGACGCTGGGATCTGCATGGCCTGTGTTTCCCTTCACTTTGTGGAGTGTTGTGATCCATGTTTTTTGTTTTGTTTTGTTTTGCTTGTGCTGGGGATTGAACCCAGGGCTGCTCTACCACTGAGCCACATCCCCAGCCCTAATTTTTATTATTATTAACTCTGAGATAGGGTCTCGCTGTGTTGCTGAGGCTAGCCTGGAACTGGTGACCCTCCTACCTTAGCCTCCTGAGCTGTGGCTGCCCATGTTTTAGGACAGACCACTCACTTGGGTGATTCTCTTTTCCTTTCAGAAGCAGCTTAATGAAGACAGCCAGACGTAAAATCCTCATTGTCCAGATGGATTTTGATGATGGCGCTCACAGTGCTCAGCTCATTGCGTCAGCTAAGTATGTTCTCAATAGTTTTCTAGGAAAACATAGGAAGGCAAAATCTCCCCAGGACATCCTGAAGAATTTTTTCCATGAAAACAGTGTGGAAATAAGAATGACTCTCCCTCCCAGCTCCTGACATGGGCTAGAGAAGCTAGAGAGGAAAGGATGAAGGAAAAGGCCAGTAATGGCACAGAAATTGTGGAATGCAAGATGTGTCAATAATGGAATTTTTGTAGTGTTTAGGAGAATGTGTTAAAGCTGCATTTGCAGTCATTTGCAGTCCTTTTTTGATCATTTTGATTTTGAATCACATAATTAAAATTAAAATTCAGTCTGAGATGTAGCTTGGTGGCACAGCACTTGCCTAGCATGTCTGAGGCCCTAGGTTTGATCCCCAGTACTGCCTAAAAAGAAATAAAAGAACTTATCGTGAGTTTAAGGGCAGTAAGACTATATAAATGAATTAATATTTATTGAACATTTTTGTGGTGTTCATAAATATGTTGCTTTCATAATTGTTGTGTTCTGATACCTCATGTAATTAAGAGTGACTTCTGCCCCTTTAAAGCACTGGGAGCCTACTACAAGTTAAGGCCCAGCCAGATCATATAGGGAGGTGGTCTGCGGCCACTGGGTGTGCAAGGGCCACCGTACCACACTGTACTTTCTCAAAATGGGAAGGCCAGTAAGCCCCAACCTCTGGCATGTGGGTGCCCTGAGACCTGCAGGGCGGGTGGGGATTCTGATCAGCCCTGAGAGGTAGGAAGTGATCCTGCCAATTGGAAGCCACCCTTCTCCTCTCATGAGAGATGTGGTGGCCCCTGGAAATGTGTGGAATGTGGTAAAGCCCCAACAGCTCCTGGGACACGCGGCAGCCATCTCACACCTTAGCTTTTGCTCCATTGCTTGCTTTGTTTTGATTTYTGTTTTCTCAATAGGTATTCTGCTATTAATGAAATCAACAAAATACAAGGAACTCAGGGCTGCGTCTTCTTCTATTTCATCACAAAACTGTCCCGGATGAGGAACAGAGCATCCTACGTGGGATTCCATGGAGGTAGGGCCAAAAGATGAGTGACTGTCTTTAAGTATGTCTGGGCTGCCTCTTGGGGTCCCATGCTGCCCACGTCCCTGTCAGACACCAACCCCTTCTGTCTCCGGGCTTCTCTGGGCTCACTGTTCACAGCCATTGCTCTGGGACGTGCTGCTGCTGTGTCAGCATGGCCTGGTCTACCTCAGGAGTGCACGGGACACACTCCTGCTCCCACTCTTCATTATACAAATGACTCAGAGATCTTCCCCTTTCACTCCAGCCCTAGTGCTGACTCCTTTGCCTGCTCCTTGGGGAAGTACTGTGTTCAAATCAGTCCATCCCTTTTTCTGTGGAAGGTCACTAGCTGGCTTATGTAAGACAATTGGTATTTTGGAAAGAGGGAAACAAGTTTAATAATTTCATAGATGGAAAGCCAAACTGTCAGCACCTTGCAGCACTTTCTGATTATGGGACAGTAAGTACGGTAAGATGCACGTAAAGAACCGTGGACAGGATCCATGGAGCCTTTGCATGTCTACATAAATCAGCCTCAACACCCATGTTGATGGTGAGTGTGCTGATGTGATGTAGGGGGTCTGATGGGTTTTGGTGTGTTTGGGGATGTGGGCTTTGAGGTACCGATCATCACTCTGACAGTAGTGTGATTGAGCATCTGGACAGAGGTGTGCCCCTGCTCCTGACAGACAAGAAGAAAGCAGAAAGATGTGAGAAGACTCGGTGGCTTTGTTCTTCACAGGGCTGTGGCAGTCTGTGCACATTGATGACCTCCGAAGGTCCACAGTCATGGCTGTTGATGTGACTAAGCTGCAGAGTGTCACCATCAGCCAGCTGTTCCTGCCAGGAGGCAGCCCAAAGTGTGAGTTGCAAGGTGGCAGACTGCAGAGGTGGGGTGGAAAGGCAGGTGAAAGGTGCCAAGCTAGGCAGCCTCCTGTGAGGCTGGAGTCAGGGCTGCCACCTTTGAGTCACCTTTGAGTCTTGGCACCTGCCCTCAGCAGGAACTCAGAATGTGGCACTGAACTGCCTGGCTCATGGTCCACATAACCAGAGCCTTGGGAAGGCCCAGGAGCAGCACCTAGTGTATCAGCTGGTGTGCTGTGGGTCATGTGCCAGCCCTCAGCCCAGGCTGTGGGGCACCTGACTAGTGGATGACGGATGTCCCCTTAAATGGAGCTGCCACTGAAGCTTGGGACAGGAAACCCTGGTGAGGCTCAGCCTAGGCACAGACCTGGTACTACCCACCCCCTTCCTTCTCCAAGTGGTGACTTGATTTGTTCCCTTCATTTGCAGCAAAAGACAACCAGGAGGAGGTGATGGAGGCAGAGACCAGCAAGTCAGGGGAGGTGGCAGAAATGGAAACGGAAAAGGAGGGTTCTGAGGAGATGGAATGGGAGGCCGCGGACCTGCGGGGCAGTGATGTGAGTTCTCCTCTGTTCCCCTGTTGGCTGGGGTGGCTGATCTGGAGGAGCACAGGCAGCTGTGCCAGCATCAGACTGAGCCCTGCCTTCTCTCTATGCTGGAAGTGTAGGGGACTTACCAGGACAAGGTCTGCCTTTCCCTTCTTTATGAAGGCTCTTAGTTAGCTCTAGGAGCTGTCCCCCAACCACTGGCCAAATTCGTGATGTCAGCCACCACTTGCCAGTGGTCCTCTGGGGGCTGGGCAGCACACAGGGATCAGCCGGGGGAGGTCAGTAGGTCAGCTTCACCATGGAGACTGACCACTGTTGATTTGGGCAGGTGGACACCAGGCCACCTTCTCGTGTGGGTAGCGTAGCTTTCACCCACCCTGGACATGGCAGCAGCAGACGATGTGCTGTCTCCCTTGGCAGGCACAGGTCCTGGACACCACCAGACTGCTGAGGAGCTGTGTGCAAAGTGCCGT